TATATACTTTTTTTTGGGGATTTTATCGGTTTGGTTCTCGTTCTTGTGCTGCTGGCTTTGAGTATGTGGCACACTCTGATGCGATTATAAAGGCTAAATTGATGCAGATAAAATTAATTGAATTCAAAAAGCCAAATCCGCTGCCCTTTTTTGGCTTCTTCCACTTTTTCCTACTTATTCCTTCGAAGTCTTTTTTTGCCTCTTTAGTTGGCGAGTTTAACAAGTGGGTCGAATTTTTTTCTTCTATTTTTCGTTTGCTTTTTCGATAGTTTGGCTAGTTAGTTTGGTTAGGTCATGCGAGCACAAGTCCTGAATGCGCACTCAATCGCTGCTAGATACGCATATGTGCTGCATGCTTAGGGAAAGTTATCTATCAAATAGAGGAAGCGAAGATAAATTGAAATTGTCATTATAATATGTGTATAGAAAATTTAATTATATAGCTGTCATATAAAGACTTGCAAATATGTCGGGCACTTGTCTCTATACTTACTTAAAGCATTATGAGAACATTGATAAATCGATGATAATTGCCCACCCACTCCACCTGTAAATTTACCTTAAAGTTTATCTGTACAGGTTCATAGCTAAAAACCAAACTTTTGTGGACTTTCCCAACTTTGACATTTGAAAAAGCTTTGCCCTCTTATAAATATATAATGAAGTTCAACCAATCGATAGAGTTGACTTGTAAGCAGCTGAACGAACATTGCACTATTTAATATTTAAGTTGCTTAAAGTTGCTTAAGAAATGCCAGGACCACATGGACCACCAGGACACCATGGCCCACATGGACCCGGCCATCATCCCGGACATGTGCCTGAACATGGCCATCAAACGCATCCGCCGCATCATCAGCCGCCAAAGCCTCATCACCCTGGGCCGCCAGGACATCCAGGACATTATACACATTAGATTTACGCTTTTTATATAAATAAATGAATTAAAAAAATATTTAGTCAAATAAAAAAACATTTGACTAATATTAAAAAATGGTTTGAAGCGTCGTTTACTTTTTGGTATTTTTCATTTATCATTCACATTGAAAAAGTCCCGTTTGGGCTAATATTTCCAACACAGAGGGAAGACACTGAGCCGTCCATGACAAACGTTTCTTTTTTAAAAACGTTGCTAATAAAAATGAAATATTATGAACTAGCTGGCTCAATAGGCAAACAAAAGATTTGGATGACATACACGCCTAGATAAGATAACACTTATCTATAGACCATAAAAAATACTAACTTTTGGCATAATATAAAACTTCTGCACCTAGCCAAACGAAATTCAGTTGAGCAAAATAACTTTTGGGGAACAGAATTCGAACTAATTGAAGACAAATTATTCGCAAATTGCAATGCATCATCACAATCCGCCGTCGCACCACCATGGACCTCCGCCGCCGCACCACCATGGACCCCCACCGCACCACCATGGATCTCCACCACATCATCATGGACCTCCTCCACATCATCATGGCCCTCCTCCACATCATCACAGCCCACCGCCGCACCACCATGGACCGCCACACCACCCACCTCAGTATGTGCCGCCACCACATTACGGCTGCCCTCCGCCCCATCATCATGGTCCGTGCCCGCAACCACGCTAAGGTGGAACATCTAGTATGTGAATTCTTCTGGCGCGGTGTTGTCAAATATAATTTATTTATGCTCAATTAAGTTTTATACATCTCTACTATGTATATGTAATTCTTTCTTATAATTTAAAAATGTAAATAATATCAAGGCAACAAATATATATGTATAATTAGCAAAAAATCATTTAAAATGTATTCCATATTTTTATGATTGTTTCTAATTTTTTCAATTTTTAACATTCCTATAAAAAAATATAAAGACCGAAGCAAATACGGAAACGATTCTTTTTATAAAATATTAAATATATATACATTCTATAANAAAAAAAAAAAGTTAATTATTAAAAATTGTATTTTTGGACTTTTACAAAAGCTAAATATCTCGAAAGTTCAGGTATTTGTTTGTCTCAAACATAAATTTGTGTAAATTATTTATATTTATATTTCTCGATTGTTTTATATGGTTTTGTGCGAGGGCAGTATTACTATTAATAAAAATGCCGCGTCCTAGAAGATCTAATCTTTCCCGGCGGACCCATAATGCAATTAGGCAACGGAATAGCGCGAGTCAATTATCTGACGAAGAGCGAGAAATCGCCCGAGAAAGGCTCCGCGTTAGTACCCAGGGAAGAAGGGCCTTAATTCGTGCTTCTCAAAGAGAGGCAGCCCGTGAAATGGCAATAAGAAATGGTTCAAGGATTSATTTGARTYRAGCAGCGTTTCGRTATGATTSCACCATTGATTACAGCTTGAATCGTTTAGTTTGCATTGGTCCAATGGACGTTGTTTGCTAGTTAAAATATATTTTCACCTCATAATTTACATAATATTCAATTTGTAAAAAAAAAAAAATTAAAATAAAAATAAAAATAAAAAAGTATTGTTAAATTGATTCAATAATAGCTCGACGTTAAAATGTATATTTACTTTTTCTTAAGAAGAATGCAGCTGTTCCTTTAAAATTTCTTATCATATTTTCCTATCTTAGGGTTTTCCGAATATTTTTACTGCGTATGACTAAATTTTGCTCTTATTTACTTACTTAATTGCTATTAGTCATGTCATGTAGTTCACCCAAATATTTGATATTTATATTGATTAGCAAAATGGTATAATTGAGATTAGATAGTGCTTATCGGGCTTTATCTATTGAGTGTGCTATCAGAGTATACTAACTGAGGGCTTTAGTTAGCGTCTGCAGCTAGTGCGATTCGCAGGTGGAGTCTTCAGTTAGACAGTTGAAACGCAATGCCACCGCCGCATGGAGGACCTGGCTATGGCCATGGCGGGCCACATCATGGAGGACATGGACCTGGACCACCGCATCATCACGGTCCACCGCATCACCACGGCCCACCGCATCACCACGGACCACCGCATCATCATCATCACGGACACGGCCGTGGACCAAGGCCATGCGTATGCTGCACGATTTTATAGAGCGAAGGCGCCAATCCCTAGGCGTATTCAATAAAGTTACAATTTAGTTTTAATGTGTCAATAATAAAGAAAGAGAGAAAGAGTCGAAGACGTATTCAAAGTAAAAGTGGCTGTTAAACAGCTGTTTAATTAGTCAAATCAAGTGGCTCCAACAATTAATGAGTGGCTAATCGCAATGCCTAAATACTTTAAAACCACAAAAGCCGCTTACACGGCGGTTACTTTTATATAAGCGTATATAAATTATATCTATACATATGTTTGACTGAGTGTGTGTGCGTGTGAGTGTGTGGCCTTGCGTGTCGATTTCTGCACAGAACATTGGTGGGTGGGCGCGGTACACACTCACACACACACACACACACAGGCACACACGGCTTTAATTTATAGCAGTCAAGTTGGAGCAGACCAGAAGACATACAAGTGCCATAAATTTTGGCAAAGGAACACATTATTTATACTGTCAACTGGCTATATTTGAAACGGAATCCAACGCTACAATATACTACCTATAAATAAGTGCATTAGCCTGCCGAAAAAAGACGAACAGAAACGAAAGGAGCAGAGTAGAAAGTCGGGAGCAATCCGTAACAAGTAGCGCTCATTTTGGTATAAGTCTTCATTAGCGGTTAAAAGGCTGACCTACAATGGGGGAGACGGCCAGTTAGTTGGCACTGCCAATGGGTTTTTCATACGCATTGAACTGTCGCCGCAGCGTTAAAGCCGGAAGTGCCCAAAACAACAACAGCAATAACAGCAGCAGCAGCAGCAGCAGCAGCGGCAGCAACAGCAACAACAATAGCGTATGCGCTGAAAAGGACGAGCCAAAAGGAACGCAACAACAACGCTGGCCAAAAGGAAAATGCTTAAAGTTCAAATTAAGCACAACAGCTGGCGAAAAATTGAATTGAAGGCAACAACAAAAGCAACAGCAACAACAGGCACACTGTCGCTGCATGCTTTCCCTTCTTCACCCACACACACACAGGCCAAACCCAAAGCATTTGAACGACAACAGGCAACGAGCCTGGCGAAGGAAAAACCAAATAAAACAGAAAAAAACAATATATAAACATATATATATATGTGTGTGTATATACATATATATCTAAAAAGGAAAAACCCGAAGCACGCTTCAAGGCGCCGAGGCGGCAAAAACACGACCTCAACTCGTGTCAACAGCTGGCCAAGAGAGCCAAAAGTCTCTCAGTGAGAGAGAGAGTTTCGCACAGTGGCGCCAATTGCCAGCGTAGCGGCCATTTGCTGTACTAAGCAACGCCTGCGCCCGAAAAACCCATCGAGTGAAATATAAACAGAGAGCATTACGTGCGACTTCAAACGAATTTCGATTTAGTATTTTGTCGCATGCTCTCAGGTTTGGGTGCTCAGATAATATTCATGGCTCCCTTGATAAGAAATCGTCGTCATTGTTATGCTCGATAAAAGACGAATAAACTGCGTAGAGTCGACTCGAGTCGAGAGTCGAATATGCACAAATATGTTGTCACTGAAATATTTCAAGACTCTTGAGGTAATGCAATCAGCATTTTGCTAGCGTTAAGTGCATATTGCGTAAAGCTTTATCGATTCATGTGCTTAAGTTGTTAATGCTCTTGATTAGATGTCTTTGGGATTGAAAAGCTTCTTATGGCATTGATTGACATGAGGGCTACCAAATTTTGCTAATGAGCTGATATTGTTGAAAGTAAATTAACTGTCAAATATTCAATGTCAAAGCAGCTATCACACAGCAATAGAACTTAAAAAAAAAGTTTTCTTCACCACTTATCCCAACGAAATTCGATAATAAAATCAATAATTTAGCAAGCTCAAAAAATAAATTTCTTATTGTCTAGTCCATAGATTTAAAATATATATAAATAGACCCTAGGAGATTCTTCCCAGCTCACAACTTTATTTTTATCTGATATTAAATCAAAACTTGATACAAGAAGGAAAATTTTCCTTGTATTCTATCAATTAAAAATCAGCTTAAAATAAAATAACTATAATTTTAGCATACGTCGACTTCTGGACTTTCTAAAATACTTTTAACAAATTTTAACCCTAACTTAAATAAAAATTATTAATTAATTGATTATTTGTATATAATAATAATT